CAGAAAATGCTGATCATAATCCTCAATGAAACTATTTCAATATAAAATGGTGTTTGAGCATTTTCAAAAGCCAACCTTTTGAAAAATACAAACAATCACACTGCTTTGCTGATTTCCTTACCTTATGTTCTGAATGACTTCAAAGTAAACCCAAATAACTAGTGCTGGCCAGCTGCAGTAGGATCACGAACATTTGCTTTTTTAAGTTTATAATTCAATTAAACGCAATAGAATATGTTCCCTTCTACAGATACTTGGAGCTTGCCAGCTACAGTGTTTATTGAATTTGGCATTGGATAAAACACTTCACAGAACACATACAGAGGATCTACTTTGAGAACAAGTGGAGTATGTGTCAATGCATAAGCTTTCCAGATGAAACCTAATCAAAACTATGACTCAATAATTCCAAGTGTGACAACTGGTGTAGGCAGCACAACAAAACACAATTATGTAAAAGGAATATTACATTTTTAGTAATGTTAATGGTCTACAGGACAAAAGCCAGAATAGTTTCTTGCCAATTTTTATGCCTGGAACTGAAAATAAACTCTACTGTTGAGCGTAGTCGCCAGCACGTCTTCATAATGAGCTTTTAGCTCCATAAACAGTAAGTGAACCCTCCTTTTTCCAGTAAACCCATTCCTCATAAGGATAAATAAACAGCAATATTTTGTGTGGGTGCTACTTGTAATCCTAGCCTTTGTTGCAAACCTCCTGTAAATGACCAAATGGCCTCCTGTAAGACCAAATCATCTTTGGGGAAAATAAAATCAGTTTGATCATGATAAGATTATAGGGATTTACCAATTACAACAACCACAGATAGGTGAATAGCAAATTATATTAAAAAAAAAAGATAACCGCAAGACAACAGCTTACTGTCCAACTGAACTAATTCACTTCTTGTCTTTTTTCTTTAGACTCCGGCTGGCCTCTTCCGGAGCCCCTCTGCCCCATTTGGCTGTTCCTCGATGTGCTGTTTTCTACTGCATCCATCATGCACTTATGCGCCATTTCACTGGATCGCTACATTGCCATCAAGAAGCCAATCCAACACAGCCAATACAAATCCAGAGCCAAAGCGATGGTGAAAATTGCACTGGTGTGGCTCATATCCATTGGTAAGCATATCAAATCAGATTTCCTCAACTTTTACAACGCTGCAGTGGTTTTTACTTTAGACAAGTTATTTCTCCAGAAGTCTATTTCGTCACATAAAATATATGGCAGACCTGGTTTGTGGACCCAGAATTATTTTCCGGATGCAGATAGTATACAAACCGCACCCTACGTTTTTAATGGAAAGGAGGGTTAGGGAGTAAAAATGTGGCCAAATTCACTGACACATTACTGATCAATGCTTGATGCCCAGTAAACAAAATACTCAAAGAAGCAGGTTTTGCTGAAGGGTTTGATTTCATTTGAGCTTCATTCCATGACCGAAGCCAGAAGTTCCGATGGAATGAAGGCAGCAGCACTTATACGGAGTCTCAGTATATATGCAGAGTAACAACTCTCCTGCTGTTAGCAGTTTTAAGAAACATCATGGCAAGTGATGGATGGTTAGTTTACTTGCTTTTAAAAACAAAAAGGGAAGCCTCAAATCATAATATGCCTTTTTTTCCTGACAGTAACCGTTAACTAAACATGAACATTTTGTCGATACTACTTAATAATACTATCATACACGTGAAATTGAAATTAAACAGCAATGTCTGTGCGAAAATGAAATCGAAACGGTTCTTCTGTTGTCTACATGAAACATACAAATCAAAAATAAAAAGCGATATTACAAAAGGAATATACAATTTCCAATGTTTTACCAATATGTACTCTTCTTGTCATTTTCCAGGTATCGCAATCCCAATTCCGATAAAGGGGCTTAGGAACAACCATCTTCCCAACAACATCACCTTCAACAGTAACCACACATGCCTTTTGAAAACGGACACCTTTCGGGAATTTATCATGTTTGGCTCCTTGGTGGCGTTCTTCATCCCTCTGACTATCATGATGGTCATCTACCTACTAACTGTCCAGGTGTTACGCAAAAAGGTGTATCTGCTCAAGTCAAGGGTGTCTCAGCGCTTTAGCTACCTGGCAATCTCCACAGTTTTTCAAAGAGAACAAGCTCTAACGCCAACGCAAGTTGAGCAACCCAACATGCTGGACAGCAGACTTCCCAGGATACAAGAACGAACATTTGCAGGCACGTCAAACTCTCCAACAGCAGATGAAATATCCTTTCGTAGAATGTCAACAATGGGCAAGAAGTCAATGCAGACTCTGAGCAATGAGCAGCGCGCCTCCAAAGTGCTAGGCATCGTCTTCCTCCTGTTTGTGGTCATGTGGTGCCCTTTCTTCATCACTAACATCACCTCGGTATTATGCACCAGCTGTGACGTTCATGTCATTGCCCATCTCATGGAGATCTTTGTTTGGGTGGGTTATGTGTCATCAGGCATAAACCCGTTGGTCTACACCCTATTCAACAAAACGTTCAGGGAAGCATTCACGCGGTATATGACCTGTAATTATGAAAACCCTGCTACTAATGGTCCAGGAAGGCAGCCATGGGCATCGAATGCAGATCGGACCCTTACACGGATTTCATTCCGATCTTCCATGGCAGAAAACTCTAAACTTTTCATGAAAAATGGCATTGGAGCCGTTGGCTACCAAAGCCCACTGAGGTGCAGGCAAGCCCCTATGCAGTCAGTCAACGGTATTTTATTAGACACAATGCTTCTGACTGAAAATGAAGGTAGCAAGCAGGAGGAAAAGGTCAGCTGTGTATAGAGACAGAGGATTTGAACACAAAATGTGCACTTTAAATCAGTGAGATTTATGTTGCCCACATTGTATCTCTTTGAAGGCTAAGTCGACATAACTTGGCTAGGTTAGCTACAACAAATACTCAAACTGCATAATTTTGAATCTGCGGTTACTCTCAAATTCATTGACAAATCATTTAACAAAAGGGCATTGCTGTAGAATGAAAAAGAGGAGATTAAACCTGTCTGCTGATGTACATCTGCTTCCATCAATAATACACTTTAAACAAATAAGGCATTCATCATTTCAAATAAACATTAAATGCATAAGTCAAAGTCCTATGTTAAATGTTGTATATAGATGTTCAGAATACTTCTCATTTAGCCTTTTAGACAGGTCAAATTGCGGTTTAAAGACAATTTATAACATACCAGAAGACAGTTTGCATTTTAAAATGTTACAAAACCTTACAGGTCAACTCAAAAAGGCCACAGGTTAGGAAACAATGATATTAAAGGTTTAAAAGTTCAAGCCACCAGACAAAAATGTAAGGAATGAAAGCATGATAAGATAACCTGGAATTATGTATGAATACAGTATAATATATATGACTTTTATGACTCTTTCAACTTGGGCTTTCTGAATATGCTGTAAACCATCTCAGACCACATGCTCATATTTTGTTAAGAGAAAACACAAGTCTACATTTCAAATCTATTTTCCAACTGACAACATTTGCACTGTCGAGATAATGTTACTTGTATTTACTGGACCTTTGACAAGCACTCTTGTATATGTATTGCAGCCTGCTGTTTTGACATGTTAGGAGATTTCCAAATAAAAGACTGTATATAATAAAGAACAACATTTCATATTAAATAGAATCCTAAATGTGTTTAATACAATATTTTTTTCATGATGCTTAACTGAAAGAAAACTATAACAATTCTCAGCATCCATGTTTTTCCTTTCTATGTCTACACTTTTATGCTACTTTATTTCAGCACCAAGTAAAATATCTTTCTCATGAAACAGCACAACAGTAAAGCCAAACAAATGCTGAATGAGACAGCCTCAAAAGATTGGCAAACAGCAAGTAAGAAAACTGTGGGACAGTGTGTTCGGCAAAAACACTTTTTTACAGACCCTTCATGCTTTTGAAGAGCAGTTTTGAAAGCAAGACAATGCTAAATTCCAAATACATGCTAGTATAAACAGCGGAACGGAAACTTAATTAAGAAAATGTAAACAGTGTTTGATCAATGTGGAGCAAACTTTGAGACTTGGTATGCGAGCTTGGAGTGTGTTACCATTTAATTATTTCCTAGACCAACCTCGTCTCATTGTTAAAAAACAGAGACTCTTTGTACTGAAAGTAGTCTTTTTTTGTGCTAATGTACATGTTAGGGGGGTTATCATTGCTTTATCATTGCTTTAACCATTAAGAAGTTGTGGAACAGGAGACCAATTGAATTGTTCTGCTTCTAAAGCTTTGTAAACAGTGAAGATTTAAACAATGTCTGCCATTTGATCGGGCAAAATATCCAAGCTTAGACTTTACCTCCTGATATTGGTGGAAAGGCGCTCCGTTTTAATCCTGCCCCAATCTCTGATGGGTACATTTATGTCAGTCTAAGGTTGATGTACCTCCATAAATAGCCAGGAACAAAAATGTGGGAATGACAAGTATATGCAGCTTTCTCAGAAACAGAAACACATTCCACAAAAACCAGGAACATATTAAATTCCAGACAACAGTGCATCCAAATTCTCCTATCTCAGAGAAGGTGTTCATGCTTGAGCAAACTACAAAGGTAAGTGTTCGTTAAAGAGTTACACTTTGTATGGAAAGCAGGAACCAGTAAAAATACTTCAGTGTCAGATTTGCCATAAACACATCAGACCAAGTAGGAGATTACCCCGAACATCGTGTAACGGAATCTATTTCAGGTGAATCTCTAATGAAAAGTTAACTATAGAGCTGGCTATAGTTATAATATATACACGTATTCCAGAACACTAGCTTCAGTATTGTGCCAACACAATACTTTCTACTGAACATCTTGAGAAATTCATTTCTCACGTTCATCAAAATGATCCAAACTAAAAAGACGCAATTTTGAATGTTTACATTTTGGCTAAGATCATGAGGCTCAATAGAGAAAAGCATGTAGTGGATTTATGCAAACTAAACAGACAGTTCAGAGCATTCTTGTCCTTACCTGAACAAGATGAAGCCAATGGACTCGACAGCAGCCCTTCTGACGTCATCATTCACATCACTCACCTTCATTAAGAGAAGTAAAGAGGTCAAATTACCAAAGTGGAAACCTAGAGTCATCATATCTTGCAAATAACTTCAATGATTTAACTCCCTGATGTAGTTTGAGGAACATGCTCCACTACCACACCCTCTATGAGCTTGTATTAAGCTGCCACCTACAGGACAACATTTTGTTCACAGTCCTCACCCGTGTTGTACTGAAAGCACCATGATTAGCATATACATACATTCACTATCATCATAGTGATGCAATGTTGGATCCTACAATAAACTCAGGTAAACAGTAGACTGATGTGATATGTTAAAAACTGAAGCGTATGGTTTAAGCAAAGACAAAATATTTCACTTATATAAAACTTATCGTGGCTCTTTTAAAAAGCGTAAATCACAGTTATTATTAGAGATGTCCCGATCCGATCACGTGATCGGGGATCGGAGCCGATCACGTGATTTTCAAAAGATCGGAATCGGGAGGAAAAAAATCGGGGGTCGGGATTTTTAAAAAAAAAAATTTTTTTTTTTTTTTGTATTCAATGTTACAAAACAAAAATGACCATGTTCAAGTCTTGAAGTCATCCTGAGGCCTTAGTTTTGGTTTCAAATTACAGAACATCATGTATGTGTTGCTTCTTTGGGGCTTGTTTTCATAGACCTGGTTGCTTATTTCTCTCAAATCTGGCAACNCACTTATATAAAACTTATCGTGGCTCTTTTAAAAAGCGTAAATCACAGTTATTATTAGAGATGTCCCGATCCGATCACGTGATTTTTTTTTTTTTGTATTCAATGTTACAAAACAAAAATGACCATGTTCAAGTCTTAAAGTCATCCTGAGGCCTTAGTTTTGGTTTCAAATTACAGAACATCATGTATGTGTTGCTTCTTTGGGGCTTGTTTTCATAGACCTGGTTGCTTATTTCTCTCAAATCTGGCAACAGAGTGGGCAGGGCGCAGTGTCTAATTGTAGCAGTAAGCTAACGAGTACTGAAAGCTTTATTTTGTTTTGATCCAATGCTGCACAACTGAACTGATCCAATGCTGCTGTGAAAGAAAGAAGCTATATCCATGTTGGATAGAATATCCAATTTAAATAAAAAAATAACCTTAAGGGACAACTTGAATGCTTTTTTTTCTCTTAATGCATTGCATAAAGATCGGATCGGGAAAAATCGGTATCGGCAAATTGTCAAAATAAAATGATCGGAATTGGATCGGGAGCAAAAAAAGGTGATCGGGACATCCCTAGTTATTATTATTATACTATATTGTAAAAAGGGACTTTGACTCCTTGAAAAGCAATATAAAAATATAATTTATTATGAAATGAATTGTATAATTATGCCAGGCAAAGATGTGCAGCCCTGGCTGTTGGCAGTGTTTCACTGACAGAACGACAAACCCGTACTCCTCTCTTTGAATAATGTGTTTTGGAGACGGCCAATTAAAAAAACACTTACAGCGACATGAAGCAGGCGTCGGATGGCCTTGTTGTTCCCGGAGCCGCAGTAGGCCATTCCCACTGAGTACATACCAGAGCGCCGCAGAATGGGGTCCTATCAGAGAGAGCAAGGAGAGCCAGTTTTAAGACCAGATCTAGCCCTTATAGAAAGGAAGCGCATCAGCTGTGACTTGACATACAAGACTTAGTTACAGGAAAATGTACAGAACTCAAAACATCATACATTTAAAAATTGCATAATTTATGAAAGGTTTATAGCAAGTACCTAGTAAACTACACAGATTTTGTTTGCATACACTCCCTTTCCTCTTTCTGGGATTAATAATGATTGTGCAATGCCATATTATTGTTGTTTGAATATAAAACAACTGACAGAAAAGAGTGATGTGACATGCTCAGCCTTACCTTGTCTCTGCAGAGGCTTTCAATGAGTGTATCAGCCTCCTCCATGCGTCCGTACATCACCATGGCGATTCCCACTGCCAGGCCACGCAGGATCTTCTCGTGCTGCGTCTCCTGAGCGTAGCCCACCATGTCCTCGATGGCCTGGGCTGACTTGGAGCCCAGCATGACCAGACCCAGAGCCAAGCCTGCCGCTTCACCTGAGAGGTTGCATGGCATTGTCAGCATGGCATGTTTTTTAAATCAATTGAAGTATATTAAATTACTACACAAAGTACTATTTAAATGTAATACACATCAGATACATTAACGTTCATATTATGTCTCTAAATTTGTTAAGCCAAGCGTCATTCTTTTAAAAAACATAATTGCATTTTTTTATTTCAGATTAAATGCTTGAAAATTCTATACACACCAGTAACAGCATCATCCTGGTAGAGGTTGGACTTGAGGAGGTCGTAAACATCCTGTCTGGCTGTTCCCAGCGCAGCCAAGCCAAGGCCAAGGGCGCCACCATGACGAACAATCTGTGAAAAACAAGAAGAAAAACATTTTACCAACTGACAGTGACTTCAACGATATTATTAGACTTAGTTCACAACAGCTGGTTCCCTTTACTTGAACAGTAATCAAGGTTCAAAGATACTTTATTTTGTCATCCTGAACTTCCTGACGGGCAGACCCCAGGCAGTGCGGGTGGGAAACTTCACATCCTCCACCCTGATCCTCAACACCGGAGCCCCTCAAGACTGGGTGCTCAGCCCTCTCCTCTACTCCCTGTTCACTTACGACTGCGTGGCCACACACAGCTCAAACACCATCGTGAAGTTTGCTGGGGACACAACCGTCATCGGCCAGATCACAGACGGCGACGAGAAGGCGTACAGAGAGGAGGTCGAAAACCTGACATCTTGGTGCCAGGATAACAACCTCCATCTCAACGTCAGCAAAACCAAGGAGCTGATTGTGGATTACAGGAAGCAGCAGAGAGAGGGACACGCCCCCATCGCCATCAATGGGACTACGGTAGAGAGAGTCAGCAGCTTCAGGTTCCTCTGTGTCCACATCACTGAGGACCTGACATTGACTCTTCACACCACCACCACCACCACCACCACCACCATCAGAAAGCTCGACAGCGGCTCTTCTTCCTCCGCAGGCTGAGGAGGTTCAACATGGACTCCAGGATACTCTGTAACTTCTACAGGTGCACCATAGAGAGTATCCTGACCTTCTACAGGTGCACCATAGAGAGTATCCTGACCTTCTACAGGTGCACCATAGAGAGTATTCCTGACCTTCTACAGGTGCTCCATAGAGAGGATCCTGACTGGCTGCATTCACGGCCTTGGTACCGCAGCTACACCCGCCTCTATCGTAAGGCTTTACAGGGGGTGGTGAAAACAGCACAGAGAACATAACGAGGACGGAGCTGCCATCGGCTTGGAGGACCTTTTCTACCGCCCAGCGGCTCAGGAAGAAATCCCTCCAGATTATTAAAAGACCTCCATCACCCCCAGCCACAAACTGTTCAGTTTGGCTGCCATCTGGCAGGCGTTACCGCAGCATCCGGACAAAACCACCAGATTAACAGACAATAAGGTACTGTCAAACGCACCTGAACTGTTGAAACAACATCCATAACATTCATCTGCTACTTAGTAGGGTGTAACGGTACACGTACCGAAATTATTCCGTACGGGCCCTTGGGTTCGGTACACGTGTGTACCGAACGAATATAACGTTAAACGTCAAAATTTAGCTACGTGAGAAACTCTAGATGTAATGTCATGTGCTGTTGTCTCAGCAGTTCAGGGTGTTTGCAGTCTATATTGTCTGTTAATCTGGTGGTCATTTGTCACGAGTCATGTTCGCGTTCCGTGAACTGCCTGCCATATGACAGCGAAACTGATCAGTTTGTAGTTGGGTTGATGCGACAGGTCTATCAGTAATCTGAAGGAATTTCTTCCTGATGCCGCTGGCGAGATAAGGTCCTCCAGCGGATGCAGCTCCGTCCTGGTTATGTTTCTGTGCTGTTTTCACCACCCTCTGTAAAGCCTTACGATATGTGTTGTTTTAGTGCACTTCTCTTTTGGTGTAGTGCTTTTAAAAATCTGGTACTCAGGCCGTGAGTGCATGCCAGTCAGGAGATCCTCCTATGCTGTTGTACAACCAATGTAAGACAGAGTGCACAGGATGGACTTCTTATAGTCGCTGCAACCCTCGCTTAGAAGTGTTGAGGGAATATCGGCCCTCTATGGTGTCACTCTGTAGAAGGTCAGGATTACTCTCTAATGTGTGTTGTAGAAGTTACAGAGTATCCTGGAGTCCATGTTGAACCTCCTCAGCCTGCGGAGAAGAAGAGCCGCTGTCGAGCTTTTCTTTGCCTGATGGTTGGTGGTGGTATGGACGCGTGGGGCTGTGAAGAGTCAATGTCATTGGGTCTCCTCTAGTGACTGTGGACACAGAGAACCTGTGCTAGATACTGTACTCGTCTCTTACCGTAGTCCCAGGTGCGTCGGATGGGTATAGGACGAGATGTCTCCTATCTCTCTCTGCTGACTCTACCTGTAAATCCATCGAGATACACTTGGTGGTGGCTGGGATTGAACGATGGACGGTTGTTATCCTGAGCTACCATAAGATGTCAGGTTTTATCAGCTTCTCCTCTTCTGTACGCCTTCTTCGCTGTGTCTTTGTGATCTGCCGATGACGGTTGTGTCCCAGCATAAACTTTCTTACGAATCCTACGGTCTTTGTTTTAGCCTGTGTGTGGTCCAGCGCATGTACGTAAGTGTCAGGGTGTTAGAGAGAGTAGGGTCTGAGCACCCAGTCTTTTTGAGGTGCTCCTGGCTCATCCATGGGTGCCCTCTCCTGGCAGGGTTTCTCCGCCAGTCATGGTGTTGGTTTGATTGGTGATAAACACGCGCAGTCTTGGGCTGATTTGTACGTTATCTCTGATCATGTATATGAGTTGTAACCATAACCTAAGAACGGTGATCTGTAATGATCAGGGTGGAGGATGTGATAGATTGCTCCGACCCGACTCTGGGCTCCTGCCTCGCTCAAGTGTAATTTTCATGGCACAAATTGACCCAAAGTACAAGGTATCTATTAACCTTGAATGTTACTGTTCAGAGCTCTACGGTCGCAACCGAAGACTGTTGTGGAAAGTGTTCTTTGAAATTATATCGTGACGTCACACTCGCTCCGTTGCGTGTTAAAATGTTTTTTGTCTTTGTTTTTCACCATATTGTGCGTCGATGTGTGTGCGGACCCTAGGGTCTTTGGTCATTGGCTGCGGCTCGGTATATGTCCAGACAGGTCTGTTTTACGACCTACACATCCAAAGTCTCCAACCTCTATATGCGATGATTGCTCGCTTACTGGAGTACGGTTGCTGTACAATAGAACTTGTCCGATAGCATCTTTAATCTGAAATAAAAAAATGCAATTATGTTTTTTAAAAGAATGAGCTTGGCTTTAACAAATTTTAGAGACTAATATGAAACGTTAATGGTATCTGATGTGTATTTACATTTAAATAGTACTTTGTGTAGTATTTATAATACTTCAATTGATTTAAAAGGAACATGTCCATCAAACACAGACTGACAATAATGC